AATTTTAGTAGTAATAACTCTAGTGACAGAAGTGTGACTTTGGGGTAATCAAATTATTAAAAATGTGAACGATTTAGATATCTTGGGTCTGTTGTTCACATTGGCACTATTATTTCGTAATGTCTGCATATTTCTTGTGCTGTGGTTTGTTATTGTCCGAAGTATCTTTTATCTCTTTTAAGCAACATTGCTGTGCCACTTTGAAATGTTCTCATAGTGCCAACCAAAATTGATATTATTTTTGGTGCACAATTTTTAATGCTATACCGATAATATTGTTGCGCTCTTTGTTCTATGTATGGAGGGGTCTACATTGGAGTTTAAATGCCTTCATTTGAGTAGAACTAAAACTGAATACATCGAATGTAATTTTAGTAGTAGTTAGCTCTAGTGACTGAATTGTAACTTTGGGTAATCAAATTATTAAAAATGTGAACGATTTAGATATCTTGGGTCTGTTGTTCAAAGCGATGGTGATATAGATGGGGATGTTTGGTTGAAGTGGAGGAATGCTTCAGGTCTTTTGTGTGATAGAAAAGTACCGCTCAGACTGAAAGGAAAATTTTATAAGATGGTGGTGAGACCTGCAATGCTCTATGACATTGAATGTTGGCCTTTAAAAGAGAAGCATAATACTAAGTCAAGTGTTGTTGGAGATGAGAATGATTAGGTGAATGAGTGCCTTTACACTTAGGGACAAAATGCGAAATGAATATCTTCGTGATAGGGTTGGTGTAGCTCCAGTGACGGACAAAATTAGAGAGAGTTGTCTTAGATGGTTTGGTCACATTAAGCGTCGACTATCTGATGATCCGATTAGAGCTAGGAAGACTTGGGCTTATTGTATAAAAAATGATCTTAGTTTATTAGAATTAATTGAAAATATGGCACTAAATAGAACGCAATGGAGAAAAGGGATTCATGTAGCCGACCCCACGTAGTGGGATTAAGGCTTTGTTGTTGTAGACTCTTTGTTGTTTTTGCATAATTTCACTGAGTTGCTTGCCAGGTTCCTTGTATTTTTTCACTTTGGAATTAGTTAAACATGATAATTTGTAGTTGCAAATTAGATTCATTAATTTTTTAACTTCTCATTGAAATATATTTCTCATTGAAATATACTTATTCACTGAAATATACTTATTATTTCACTGTTAGTGAGCCCAAATCTTTGGACTTTCTCATTATTATGCGTTTGTAGATATACGTGGGGACTGGGAAGCATGGGACAGCTTGGGCATTGCTCTCTTCAGTATGGAGATAAAGAACTGATTCCAAGACGAGTTGTTGCTCTTGACGGAACGACGATTAAAGATGTTGCCTGTGGTGGTGTGCACACATGTGCTCGGACTGTCGATGGAGCGCTTTATGCCTGGGGTGGCAGTCAAGTCGGACAATTAGGGCTTGGCCCTCAGACTGGTCATTTTTCCTGTGCTGCCAATTCATCAGAATCTTTGTTTCATAATATACCAGTGTTAACTATACCTTCTGGTGTACATCTTGTCACCTGTGGACATTCTCACACGCTTGTGTATATGAGGGATGGAAGAATATATGGGTGGGGTTACAATAACTATGGCCAGGCAGCTAATCAGAAATCAACATATGCTTGGTTCCCTTCTCCTGTTGATTGGTATGTCATTTCTGTGAATTGCTTCTGCTTCTTTGTTTTAAATGTATGGAGAAGTACAGTTGAACCATTTAATGGCCTGCCAGGTGTGTCGGCGAAGTGACGAAAATGGCTGCTGGAGGCGGTCACTCAGTTGTCCTGACTGATGCGTGCACATTGAAAGAGCTTTGTGAATTTCGGCTCGCTGAAAATGTGACTAAATCCAATTCGTTGCTCATTGAAGATGTGGCGTCCCGGACCGGGTCAGATGCATTGGCTCGCCTTTGTGAACGTTTAAGGTATGCTTTGACTTGGCACATAAGCAACACTCAATAGAAACAAATATAGACCTAGGATTCATAAACAAACCTATAGTTGTCAAAATCAGAGTACAAGGGCTGTCATTTCACTTGATGTTAATCAGTGTAACAGTCTGAACTTTCATCTATCGAGATATTATCCTCTTTGGCCTTATGGTCTCGTGCTTTTATCCCGTGGGTCTAACTTCTGAAGAGGTTACCTATCTCTGGAGTGCTTCCTCATTAACACACTTAAATTTGGAGTTTCTAATGCAATTTCAAGCTTTAAACCAAAAGATGCTACAATCTTTAAGAGTTCAACTTTATTCTACCAGGGGGTTTTCACAATCTCCCTCTCTTAAGCGATTGATATTCTCGTCAGTGCTATCCCATAATTATCCACCGCGCAAATAGGATTCTAGAGGTGGCTTCTACATATTCAAGAGATGGATCCCTATCATATAACATTTTGTCTCATCAAGGGTTTAAGTGGTGGCTCCTATGACATAACACTTTATTCTATATTATACTTAATTTTAAAGTTTAAATTTGATATATCTCTCATTTCATATTTTGCTCTTAGAACCCAGCTATCCATCGACAATTTTTTTTCATTACAGCCATCCTCATTTACCCACCAGTGAAGGTTTTGAGTGAAAGTTCTGTATGGTTAAAATGTTATATTTAAAATTTGGGTGGTTAATATGTTATATTCAATATTTTGAATGGTTGGTGCGTAAAACTCGTCTTTTTTTTTTCAACCATTGCTTATGATTCTTAGTTCTTTCTCCGGTGTAATTCAACAGGGAAGAGTTTCTGGATGGTTAAAATGTTATATTTAAAATTTGAGTGGTTAATATGTTATATTCAATATTTTGAATGATTGGTGCGTAAAACTCGTCCTTTTTTTTTTCAACCATTGCTTATGATTCTTAGTTCTTTCTCTGGTGTAATTCAACAGGGAAGAGGCTGAATTTTTGGATGCCTTCTCCGACGAGGACGAAGACCGGAGGGGCCTCATAACCGCAGCCTAATGGTGAGTTTCCTCAGCCTTCCGCATTTTTATATTTATAGACATTGATATGTTGTTTTAAAGTAATTTGCAAAATGAGCTTCATATGTTAAAAAATGGGTCAATTGCATACATAGCACTCTAGATATTGCTATTTACAAAACTATCCTTCTCTTTCATCCAACCTTCAAATTCTCACTCAAATATCAAAATTCATTGCAAAAACCATCACCCCATATATTTCATTTTCATCAAATTCCCATTGATTGTAAATTTACAAAACTATCCTTCTCTTTAGATATTTGATATGTAAATACGTAGGAATTAAGGGGCATGTATGTAAAAATTCCTTTATTCCTTTATTTATTTATTTATTTTGGAAATCAGGGACGATTAATTGTGGGCATGTGAATGTGTAAATTACTAGTCTTTAAATGCATAATCAATTAAAATGTTGATCATGAAGATAAAAGGGGCTTAAGATTAAATTTGTTTGTTTCTATTGTAGGAATTTGAATACTTAAATGAATCTCATCTGTTGTAGGATTGGCGAAATCTCTTAATGATTTATGCGTGTTATTAATTGATTTTTGGGTATCTATATTAATTTGTTGATTGTTCGTCATTTCTTTTAGAATATAAGTTTGTAAAAGGTGAAATATTGAGTAAGTATTTTTAAATGTGTAATTATATATGGTGAATGAATCAAACATCAAATAGGAAAATACCATGATCATTTATATATATGCGCCAAAATTCATGTAAAATGTATTGTATGGATACGAAGAAATATGGCTCCGACAATCTTATTTTAATATTTGAATATGAATGTCCGATAATTCGTTGTTCGATAAAAAAATTAGAATATTGGTATTAGATATGTAGATAGGGATGTAAACGAGCAGAGTTTGAGCGTGCTCAGACTTGGCTTGTGTTCGACTCGTTCAAAATTGCTCGTGTTAGAAATAGACTCGTGAACAATGTGGTATTTGGCTTGTGTTCGGCTCGTTCAAAATTTAACATTCGTGTTCGTATTTGGCTTGAAATTGACTCGTTAAAATTAAATTGAAATTGAAAAAAATAGATGTATATGTGAGATTCGAGCCTAGATCAAATGTATGCAAAAAAAAATAAAAAAAATCATATTACAATACAAGGTGTTATTATTTAAACTTAGATATAAACAAATATAATATATTATGATATAAATAATATATATAATAGTTTTTTTTTTTCCAAGTTAAAACGAGTTAAACATGAACAAACCGAACACGAGCTATTCGCAAACAACAAGCTTCTTTGACAGCTCTATATGTAAATACAATATGAAATGAGTGGCATGCAACAAAACGACACAATGATCTTCAAACAACACTAATCTACCACATAACTAATAAAGGGAATCCGAGTATTATGTTCATTCATTAATCAGCAAACAAACCAAACCCAAATAAAAACCCTAAAAAAAACAATCATGTTCAACTTTTCATCCACTTTAACAACTTAACCATACTTTTTTACAACAGTAAGGGGGCAAGACTTGTTGGGGGCCCAAAATATATTATTTAGCTCAGCAGAAAGGTCAAAATGATTGATAAATATTTCACCAGCCCACTCCATGAACCTTACAGCCCATGAAACTTACAGCTAAAAACTACAGTCTAAAGGCATCTATATATATATATATATATATATATATATAAGAACAGAGAGATTTCAGAGGGATTTCAATCCTCTTCTTGGTATTCTTCTTGGTATTCTTCTTGGTATTCTTCCTACAATTCCCTCATCTAAAAACTACAGTCTAAAGGCATCTATATATATATATATATATAAGGGATTTCAATCCTCTTCTTGGTATTCTTCTTCCTCATCACCCAACTTGGTGAGCTCCTCTTGGATCATTAGTTTTATTGCAAATTTTCTTGGAGTGAGATCTATTTTGTACTCTGAAGCTGAGAGATGAAATGAAAATAATGTACTTAACAAATTATTAATATGAAATTTGAGCAAAAAATAAAAAAAAAAAACAAAAATTAGAATTAAGATGAAGAGAATGCATACCAAGTTGATTAAGTATATCTGTAAATGTAGCCTGTGTTGCAAAAGAAATAGTACAGAGTCAGCTTCACCAACACACATGAGAGCTCATTCCAATGGCTTGTTTGTGTGTGTGAAATTGAGTTTTAAATCTGATTTGAGTTAACAAGTGTGTGAAATTGAGTTTTAAATCTGATTTGAGTTATATTCTAAACAAAAATAAAAGGACGGACTTATATACCACTTAAATTTTATGCATTTGCATATCTAACATCTAAAAATTTAATTTTTACATATCTGTGCATGAAAAAGTTGTATTTTGCATTTTAAAAGTTGAAATAGTGGTATTCTTGATGTGTCTATATGAAAAACTTGGGTGATATAAATGTAAACAAAGTAAAGTTTAAGTGTTAGATATGTAAATACATTAAAATTGGGTGCTATGTATGTAAATGCCCCCAAAAAGAGTGAATGTAACTTCCAATCCCAAGTGAAACTCATTTTTCTCCTCAACGAAACTGGATTCTAGAAATTAGAAGTCAACTCTAATTCACCATCAACCAAATAAAATATAGTAATGGAGCTTTATATAATAGACTTGCCGTATTAAAATCAACCTCCTTGAGGATCCTACATATAGAATTCCTCAGCTCTGCTTTAGTGGGACCGGATTTCTGCGCTCTTCCAGATTTTGCCCTGCCCTTGGATGCTTTTCCGCGAACAATAGCATGTAGATTTGAAATTAAAGATAAATCAAGGTAAATAACTGTGATATTCACACACACACACACACACACACACACAAAAGTATATATGCACATGCGAGTGTGTGCGCGAGCACACTATGCCGCCTATTCAACGATCAAATGCTTATTGTGAAAATATTCGGCCCGTGGTCAGAAGTTATTGAATGAAGAGCCAAAATAGTCCAATATCTATTTACATGTGGTCATTTTAGGTCCAGAGTCTATAAAAATGCTAAATTAGTCTCTATAATTGTTTAATAGGGGCTAAAATAATCTTCCCTCTAACTATTACAACTATATTAAAAGAGTCTATGGGGACTAATCTAACATTTTTTTTAGACTCCGGAACAAATGATCTACAAGCCGGCGAACTATTTTGACACTTAATTTATCAAACATTATTGTTTCACATACCAACTTAAAATGTTATTAAAGCATACCAGAAGGTTTCTCCTTTGAATTTGACTTTGAATCTGATTTATTAGGTGATTCAGCATCCTTCTTTTTTGACAATGCATTTTCGCCGGTATCACCAATTTTCTTAGACTTTGGATTTTTGGACGGCGGCGTCTTCAAAGAGTTCTTGCCATCAATTTTTGTGGAGGATATTTTGGAGTCGCTCCCAATCTTCCTCTTCACAGAATCAGAAGAGGCCTGTTTTGGGAGAGAGTTCTTCACATCCTGCTTTTCTTTCCATTTTGGAGATTTCTTCAGTTGCTTTTCTTTTTTAAAGTCACCATCAAACTTGGTTTCATCTCCCCGTTCACCGCCTGGTTCTTCTGATTCCTTCTCCTCTGCATCACTCTCTTCATCTTCCTTTGGAGCTTTTTCCGAGTCTTTATCTTCATTATTGTCTTCTTCTGTAACTTCGTTTTCCTCGTCATCATTGCCATTATGTGAACTCTTTACATCTGAACTTCGCGTGTCCTCAGTCTTTTCATGCCTCTACATCATCCATATCACACTTATGTAACTTCCAGACTAAATTAATGAAGGAACTTCTACATACATACCGCCCAATTCCTATGTATTTATATATCTAACACTTACACTCTGCTATTTACATTTATGCCACCCAAGTCTTTTGTATCACATCAAAAATACTACCATTTCAACTTTTAAAGGTGAAATACACCTTTCCATGATTATAGGTAAGGTGGTATGCATGTAAAAATTGAAGTTTGGGTGTTAGAAATGTAAATGCATAGGAATTGAACGGTGGTAGGTATTTAAATCTTCCATTAATCAAACAGTCTTACATAGCCAAAAGTAATCTGAATAAAGTCGGCATTGGTGATTTATCGCTTAGCTGCTTACCTGCCTAGACCTTCTTCCAAAATTGTTCCCCGAGCTCTTTGACCTCTTTCGAGATTTAGATAACTGCAAAAGAAGCTCATCATTAACTTCTTCCCAAAATATTGGGGTTGGATATATGAATTCAGATTCTCCATGCATTACAATTGAGTGGTGTCTATGCCATACAGAATGAACAAACAGATTGGACTAGCATTAATATACCCAAGGAAAATACAAGCAATCTGTGTGAGAGGACCTATAACATTCTTCGTATATATAAATTGCGCATGTGTCACAAGTTTAAAAAATCAGAGAAAAAATAATAGGAAGATTTACATGTACACCACTTAATATTAATTTTAACATAAAAATACAAACATACATATATGAATGGATGTGACTAAGGAGCTTCCCCAAGGTCGCAGCATAGTAGCTGCTACAATATCACGAACGTGGTAATGTAGCTGCTACAGTACCGCTGTCCAACCCTTCTACCATTTCCTTTTTCATTTCCCTCCATCTTCCCTTCCTTTTTCATGATTCTCCTATTTTATTTCCTATATGTTCTATGCCTGCCTTTTTTTATTTCTTTATTTTTCTAAACATTACCTATTATATTTAAAAATTCCCATTATATATATATGCGTGTGCTGTTGAGTGCTTTGAGGTTTAGCTTTTGACGAGTGCAGATTTCTAAGTGTTGCCTTTGAAACATTCTTCCTCTCCGGAGGTTGTATTCAACGGAGAGAAGGTGCTCCGATTATAACTCGTCTGATGTGGTGACCGTCTCCAAAGGTCCGGGCGGTGCTCCGGTTGTAGCTCGACCCCGACAAGATATCTATCCTTCCGCAAGCCCCCTCCGGCCTCGCTTCCAGCAGATGCAAACTATTTTCTCCGCTGCCGCATCGGCCTTCCAGCCACCTACCTGCTATCCCCGCCTCCCGCCGGGCACCCAATCACCTTACGTGCTGCTGTTCACCACCTCCAGCAGCTATCCTGCTGTTGCCATCGCACCCCGCACCTTCCAAGTTGTGGTCCATTCTAATTGGTGCTGTCCCGAGCACTGACGACATCTTCCAGATTGCTGTCCACGTTTTCGGGGGCTGCCCTGACCCCCGCTGACCTCTTCCAGGTTGCTGTCCACCACCCCCTGCACCATGCCAGCAGGCTGCCTTCCTCCAGCTCCCTTGTGGCAGGCCTCCGACCATCTCCAACACATCTCAGCAGGCTGCCCTTCCTCTAGCCCTCTTTCGGCAAGTCACCGACCATCTCCAACAGCTCCCTACAGGTTGCCCTGCTGCCGCCAACATCCCCACCCACTGTCGTAGCCCTAATTGAAGTCTATGTGCCGTCTCTTTATAATTGTGTTCCTATTTTTGGTGGCGTTCGTTTCCGTTAGGAGAGCCTTCATTTGTAATCGTTAGAATTCAGCAATATTATTATTATTTTCATTATGGTTTGAGCTTCCTCCGATATCAGTATGTATGTATGCATGCATGCATGCGTGTTTTATATATATATCTGTGTGTGTGTATGTATATGCCACATTAACTAGGCATGAGAAAGTTGTGTTTGACTTTTTAAAGATTATAATAGTGATTTTTTTTCTTTTTTTTTGTGATATGAAAGATTTGGGTGGAATAAATGTAAAAATCAAAGTTTAGGTGGCAGATATGTAAATACATAAGGATTTGGCGGTATGTACCAAACCTGCTTTTCAGCATGCATGACATCGCTCATTTTTTGAGGAGCTTCCAAGAAATCCAAAACCTTCATAATTATTTCATCCTGCAATCACAACACAATGTTGCCACAAAATTGCCATAAAAAGAAAGAATAAAGAGTCAAAATATTCCTATAACTTTTTACATGGGGCCATTTTAGTCCTAGAGTTCATAAAAGTGCTAAATTAGTCTCCAGACACTCTAAATTGAGGCTCAAATAATCCTCTGTGAAGACTATTTCAGCCCATATTAAAAGAGTCTGCAGACTAAATTAACACTTCATATTATCTTGGGCCTAAAATAACCCCCTGCAAAGAGTCGGGAGACTATTTTGACATTTTAATGTAAAGTGAAATTCGCATGCCACTAACAGCATTATCTAATCTCATTCTAAACATATTAAGCCCAGTAACAAACTAGTGAGAGAAAAACCTTTCTAGCATTCGTTTTAGATACAGACAAATCAAACAAGTCACACAACTCCAACAAATTTTCTTTTACAGACTTGTCCAGCTTCTCCTTTATCTTAGCTCTTTGTTTCTCCTGCAGACAAGTTCTACATGAACATACAATTTCTAATTTGTAAAGCAGTTGGTGCAAGAACAATTACCTCACTTTCATGCCAAGCAAATCCAGAAAACCTCAAAAGATTGCTCTTAAAATCGGCCGCCTGCAGGTATGCATTCAGTGATGGTTATGATCATAAATAAGAAATTGTTAATTCATACTGATGAATTAGTAAATTGTATTCAACAAAAAGAGACACAATTTAGATGGTGGTAGGATGAAGTGAAATTATTATACGAGAGGGCCTATGGAAGTAGCATCTGCTAATGAATATATATTGCCAAAAAAAGACTTATATATATACCACTCAATTTTATGTTTTTGCATAACTAGCACCGAAACTTCAATTTTTACATGCACATTGCCTTGGGCATGAAAATGTGTATTTCATTTTCTTTTAAGTTAAGATAGTGATATTTTTTATGCGATACGAAGGATTTAGACGGTATAAATGTAAAGAGTAAATTTTAGGTGTTAGATATATAAATACATAGGAATAATTTGGTATTTATGTAAATTCAAACTCCCCACCACCACAAACTCCCCAAAAAAATTAGTAATTGCGTAAATATGAAAACGGGATAATTCTAACTGAACATAGTTAAGAACTGCATTGACCACATGCTGAGAAGTGTCACCAACGTGAAGTTCATTGAGAAATTTTAGCTAAATTGCCGCCATTGCTAAATCCTACAATAATATCACGAATGTTAATAAGTTGAGGCACTGACATAACTAATCCCTTAGATGGGGCTCTTCCTTAGGGGATTGATTTAAGAAAGCACTCTCCAAAAAATAAAAAAATCGCATGGCTAATTAACAAAAGCTTTAAAAGTCTCAGCAACAAGATTGAGATGCAGACCATTCTATCTTTGCTTGTAATTAGAATGGTGGTGATACACCCACTTGAGATTGAGAGACCCCTAAAGATATCACCCCCTGTGTAATAAATTATTTAAACTTGTCTCAAATATAAGTCACAGTGAATTTGAAAATTAAGAGTCTGTTTGGGGTGGTTGTAGCTTTTTAGAAAGGTGGCTGTAAAGTTGTCATAGAGAAAATCATTTGTTAGAAAGCAGCCGTGGGAATTATAAATATAAGGGTCAATTTTCGTTGGTGGGTCAATTTTGAGTCACTTATGATCTGGAGTGTCAACTTTTGGTCAAATTCATATTTGCCAGCCAATCAATGCATGGCCAAAAAAAAATTAAACGGATTATGATTCTAGACCTGAATGCAATCCAAGATTTTCAAGTTTGGCTCAACTCAAATTCAAATGTCATGTCAATTTTGGACACACCTTGAGAATTTGAAGCAGAATAATTCTTTAATGATGATTACAACATGCATGAAACAAGAGAAAAGAAAAAGAGATGAAGAAAGTGTACACAACTCAAAGGCAAAGAGAGAGAAAACACACCTGTTTGATTTAAATATTCTTCAGCCAGTTAACAAATAGGGTAACAATTATCTAATAGAGGGCCCTCAATAACTATCAAAACACACAAGAACATTAATGAAAAGATATAATGCGCCTTATCATATTTTAGGACATGAAATTTATCTAAAACATGTCTTAAAACAATAGGCGCATGATGACCATACATATACGTATGGATAGAAGCCAACAACGATGTTGGTCATGCATCGCAGCGCTCGTTTATGATAAATTAAAAATCACCAGAAGCTTACTAAGCCTTTGCTAATGGTTGCAACAAACTCTCTTACTTCATGCCTATGGTTACAACACAACATTGAACAAGTGGAGCCTAAATACAAGCACCTAATATCAGAAGATATAATGTGAGACTAATTTAAACACCTAAATAAAGCGCGGACCCTAGTGAATTTCTTCATCAATATTACTCATGCCATATGAAGAGGTAATTAACTTCGATGTCCTCCGCCTATACGAAGTCTCGAAACCCAAATCTCAGCAAAATCCTAATTATTAAGGTAAATTTGAGCTACTTTTAAAAGTCCACATTCAAATATTCCCTTCTTCTACAAAAGAAATGAATGGCATGAAGATACTAACCGAGACATGAAAATATTTCAATCAATGCTTGCGGAAGGTTAGAAAATAGAAAATCCAATCAAATTTCAGTTTCAAAATGAGTTCTTCTATTTCTAAATCTGTAAGTTTCGCGAGAATGTTATTGCCTGCAAAAATATTGTCGTACATACATAACAAATTATAAACTCCTTTATTTAAGACAGGCAAAGCTATGGCTCAACAGAAATATTTCATGTATCTAAAAAATTTTACAGCGGGGCACTTACAGACCACTGAATTCTTATGTATTTACACATCTAATACCTAAACTTTACTTTTTTTACATTTATACGACCCAAATCTTTCATATCACATCAACAAAATGATTATTTTAACTTTTAAAAAGTGAAATACACATTTTCATGCATATTGTTGTGTATATGCAAAAAATTGAATTTAAGGTTATGTAAATACATAAAAATTGAAAGGTATGCAAGTAAATCTTCCAAAAAATGAAAAGCATAAGAGTTTAAGAGAAACAGAAAGTAATAATGAATTAAGGAAAAACTTGTATATTTAATATACAGTTTAAGAAAATAGCAATGACAAAAGGGAAGAAGTCCAAAGTCAGTAATAAGTGGCAAACCTTACCAACTTGAAAGTATGTCTCTAAGTGAATTTCCCAAAGAGAAATTAGGAAAAATGGCACGCAAGCAACTGAGATTACAAAGTACCTTTCCTTTTCTTCCAAAAAGTGTCTGATGTAGAAATTTCAATTCTACAGGCTTCTTTCTAGCCAACTTATACGCCACTGACATAAACGGGAAAAACAAAAGTCAACTTCACAACTAAGTTATGTTGAACAAAGAAAATGTAGCGCATAACAATGAATAAATAACATAGAAAAATGCTTGATAAACATATCAACACTATGAAACCAAATTTAAAATTGTGAATTTAGTGAAAGCAAAACGAAGTCAGGATTTATATTTCACATAACAAGGGCAACAAAGTAGATCAAATGGAATCCCCTCCGGTTTGCATCTCATCCAATAATGTCGGTCCCATGGTTTTCTATCATTTTCCATGAATTTTATCAAGATTTCCTTTAGGTATTTAGAGTTAATTACTCTTACCAATAATTGGTGGCATTATTTAATAGAGAACCCCTCTATCTAAAATAGAGGAATTAAGACAAACAGTCAAATGTACTAACTCTATACATATAACATCTAACATGTCGAATGCGTCATGGCTCAATGCTTCCTAGGTGTTTGAATTGGCCACTATTTATTTCTTTTTTTTCCAGATGACTAAATTACCTCCCACCAATAAAAATACCTTAATAAGGAATTTTTACTAGGTAGCTTGCTTGTGTGGACTCACAATCCCTACATTGCCACAACTAAGGAGACAATAGATCCAATGACAATAAGATACATACATACACATAGACATAGAGACAGGCACATCGTGCCCGGACACGAGCATGGATGGAAGTGACAAACAGATCAATGCATACCTATATAGGTATATAGAATTACAATAAGTGGTGTTCTTAGTGTTTGCTTTATGAGAGATCCAGTTACAAGACTAATAACCTAGGGTTTGCTATTTCTTATGCATATTTTGTTGGCTGCAATTTTCTTTTCCTCCTGTGGTGTTCCTAGCGATGTCTAGGGTTGTGGGAGAGAAAACTTCCTCTCAAACAGTAGATCATAATTTTATCTTGCTTGTTTTCCTTTGATTTTCGTAAGAGCAGCCATCGTCTGAGTTTTTCCACTTATCTATTGTAATTTTGTCGTCCTTTGCTCGCTATTTTGGTTCTTAGTCGTATCAAATTGGTATCAGAACAAGATCTCAGAGGGATGTCAGCAAATAAAGTGGATGTGCTGGAAGGAGAAGTTGGGCAAATCAAATCGGGAATGGAAGAATGGTTCGCCACCATTAAGGGCAGGTTTTCCTCCCTTTAGAGCCAAATGGAAGTGCAGGAGATGATGAAAAGGCATATGGAGATGCGATCCAAGGCCAAGTCGATCGCTCCAATTGAAAACCCTAACCAAGGGTTGATCAGGAAACCTTTGATCAAGTCAAAAGAGAAGGATATCAAACGAGAGGACAACGAGGAGGACATCATCTACCACCACGAGCGTCCCCCCAGGACTCTGAGAGGAGGAGGGGAAACATCTGATGAAAGGGGTACGGAAGAGCACGAATGAGGAAGTAGGGAATCGGAATTGAGGTATGGCTATGACCGGAAGAGGGAGTTTCACCCAAGACACATGAGGGGAAATACCGGAGGAAGAGGAAATTGGGGTGAAGATACAAGGGTCAGAAAACTAAAAGTATCGATCTTCGAAAGGGAAGATGCACATGGGTTTTATCTAGAAACTTATCAATCATAGGAATATGAAACTTATCCAACACTCTATCATTGGTTAAAGACCAACTGTCCACACAAAAACTCCTACTACAATCTTTTTTCTTAAGTAACATG